TGACTTGCATGCAAATACCTGAATGTGATTGGAGAAAAACACACAACTATAATTAATGGTCTCACTTTAAATTCATGATCAGTAACCATTAATGCTGTCCAGCAATCCTACTACATATCCCTGTCCACTGACTTCTCTCACTCTCCTAGAAGACTATTTCATATCCTCTCCTTCCTCTCTACATTCTAAAAATATTTTATTTCATTAAAAACAAAGAAGTTACCAGAAGAGAACTTTTATTGTATCTCATCCACAATCTACCCACCTACCTTTCCCCATACTTATTCAATTTGTATGCTGAACAAATAATCCAAGAAGCTGGACTATAAGAAGAACATGGCATCAAGATCACAACCTGTGATATGCAGACAACACAACTTTGCTTGCTCAAAGTGATGAGGACTTGAAGCACTTACTGATAAAGATTAAAGACTTCAGTCTGCAGTATGGATTACATCTCAACATAAAGAAAACGAAAATCTTCACAACTGGACCAATAAGCAGCATCACAATAAATGGAGAAAAGACTGAAGTTGTTAAAGATTTCATATCACTTAGTTCCACAATCAACACCAAAGGAAGCAGCAGTCAAGACATCAGATGACATATTGTGCTGGACAAATCTGCCGCAAAAGACCTCTTTAAAGTGCTGAAGAGCAAAGATGTCTCCATGAAGACTAAGGTGCACCTAACTCAAGCCATGGCATTTTCAATCGCCTCTTATGCATGTGAGAACTGGTCAATGAACAAGGAAGACTGAAGAAGAGTTGATGCTTTTGAGTTGTGGTGTTGGCAAAGAATACCGAAAATACCATGGACTGCCAAAAGAACTAACAAATCTGTCCTGGACAAAGTGCAGCCAGAATCTTCCTTGGAAGTGAGAATGGCCAGATTTTGTCTCACTTACTTTGGTCATGTTGTCAGAAGGGACCATTCCCTGGAGAAGGATATCATGCTTGGTAAAGTGGAGGGTCAATGAAAAAGAGGAAGGCCCTCAACGCGATGGACTGACACAGTGGCTGTAACGATGGGCTCATGTTTAGTCGTTGGAGTTGGGGACTGTGAGGCTGGCACAGGACTGGGCAGTGTTACATTCTTTCCTACATAGGGTCACCATGAGTCAGAGCCAACTCAGTGGCACCTAACAACACCACCTTCTCTCTTATTATACATGACCTACTCCAAGGGACACACAAACAATTAAGCACTCAACTACTAGCTGAAAGGTTGGCAGTTCAAAGCCACCCAGAGGTGACATCGAAGACAGGCCTGCCAATCTGTTTCTGAAAGGTCATAGCCATGAAAACCTCATGGAGCAGTTCTACTCCACACACATAGGAGTGCTATGAGTCGGAAGCAACTTGCCAAGAGCAGCAGCCTGAGCTAATGTAAGATTAACTTCTCCACTTGTAATCTTAATTTTCATCCCTTCCCCTTCTCAAGGATATCATCCTTGTAACTATCTCCTCTCTTCTGTATCATCAAATTTTCCCCTCTACTGCATTATTTCCATTGGCATACAAGCAGGCTGTTAATCCCTCCCATCTTAAAAAAGACTTTGGTTCTGTGATTATTTTGATTTTTGACAGTAGACTGTTTTCTCTTGCTTTTTTGTATACAGATTTATCTTGTGTTATTGTGCTTCACAGGTGTGTGTGTGTGTGTGTGTGTGTGTGTTTTAAAACAAATTGAAGGTGTAGGTAACCCTTGAGTCGAGCAAGTCTACTGGCACCATTTTCCCAACAGCATGTGCTTACTTCGCATCTGTGTGTCACATTTTGGAAATAATCACAATATTTCAAACTTTTCCATAATGCTATCGCATACTTAATAGACTACAGTACAGTGTAAACACGACCTAATATATGCACTGGGAAACAAACAAACAAAAAAAAGTCACGTGACTTGCTTTACTGCAGTATTAGTTTTACTGCTGTGGTCTGGAACTGAGCCTTTATGCTTCATAATTTCTGCCTGATGGGCATCATGTGTAAGACATCAGCTACTGAGATAAACAGTATTTGTGTATGGAAATAGGTACACTTTTTCTACTAGGCCATTTGTATGTGGTTTAGGGGATGTGGAGTCAAAAGTTCAGCTGGGTTTGGGTTTTGCCATTGTTAGGATTACCTTCAGAAAATCACCAGCTTCAAATTCCTCTAGTGTTACCTCCTGCTTAAGCTGGGGGCTGGTTTACCAGAAGGTTTTTCTCAAAGTTTTTGCTCCATCTTTAGCTCTAGGCTCTCCCTGTGCACCTACCTCAAAGCAACTCACTCCAAATTCTTCCCCTTACCCCAGGGGTAGACTACTGTTGCTTGATTTGCTAGCCTGGTGGGAAGGGGTAAGGAGGTTCTCTGTTTTCCTAGCCAGTCTCAGTCTTAGGCAGACTTTATACTCCTGCATTTTAGGAGTAGACTTTCTCACTAATCTTGCCTGTCCTCCATAGTAGGAAAACTCTAATGGTCTGAACCCAGGATAGTTTCCTACTATTCTCCCAGGGCTAGTGTGTTTTCATTCTTTTTCTTTCACCTTTGCTCAGCCACAATGGAAAACAGGGTTTATTACCCTTTCCCCAGTGGCTTAAAGCTCTTTTGCCATAGGGGAAAGAGTCCAAGCAGCACACTGAGCCTTTCAAAATGCTCTAATCTCCACTGCTGCAGTCAGCTCAAGGCTTTAACTGATATTGATATCCTTCTCTTCTTTTATCCATTCTAGATTTTCCTCACCCTCACTTCAGCTAATCTAGGTGTCTTACCTGGTAGGGTGACCCATACTTTCATCCCTGAGGGATATGAATCATTAGGTATTGCCTTGTCCTTATTAGGCTGTGGCTGCTACAGCTTTTTCAGTGAAATGAAGGACAATGAAGAACAAGAAACACCACAGTGAGTCCCCCAAAAATCGAAGACATACTCCTTTCTGTCTATATTATATAGCAGCAACTTTAGCTCCTCGTTATAATCAGGGTTAATTATCCCTGACAGATTAGTAAGTCCCCTTGTCCTGCTGGTCCACTGGCATGAGGAAACCAAAGTTACCAGGTAACAAGGGAAACCTTCTTGGGTTCTCTAAGGAAAATGCTCCCCTACTGGAAACCAGAATCTCTAGTCCACCAGAGCCTAAGGTTGGAAGAACAAGAGGTACAAATTCTGCAAGTGAGTCGCTAGGGATGATGGTCAGAGGTTCTCAAATGATATGACTTAGCAGATCCAGTGCTAGAGTTGTCTGTGGTAGACAAAGATGTGGTGCATAGTCTCCAGGAAGACCCAATAAGAGAGCTGAAGCACAATCCCTTAGATCCTAGAGCAAGTACATATATCTGGTCTGCTTGAGGACCCTAGAAAAGACTGAGTACTTACTACGAGATTCAAGTGATTATACAACCAGAGCTAAAAGTATCCATCCCAGTTATGCTGAGGAGTCAGAAAAATAACCTTGAGATAGATCCAAGATTCACTGAGCCTACTGTAAAAGTCTTGAGCCAGTCTCCATTTTCAAGTCTCCTACTCTAACCAATGCTGTTTCAGTTAATCTAAATGCATTTTCAGTTCATTTCCTGTGGCCAGTAGTCCTCATAAGGTCTGGTATATTACCCCCTTCCCCCAGTGCACAGTTACTATGGTAAATGGCCATACACCTCATTGGTCAAAGATTGGGGGATATTTATTACATAAGCTTGTGGTAGCATTTCAAGGTTCTTCCTTAAGGAGACCTGGCCTGCCCTTCAACTGATGAACCCAAGAAATGCCCAAGATCTAGAAACTGGGTAAGGGATTGTGATTTTTCATTGTGGCAGCTAATAACAGCCTTCTGTTCACTAGCCCTGGTCAGCTGATCATCTCTCTTGTCCCTAAAAAACACCAGTCAATAACACTCACAGGTCCTCACAGGTGAAGGCACCCTATTTGCCACTCACCTTGCTGTCCATTAAGCTAATAACATCTACCTTGCCTCTAATGGTTAAGTGCCACCACCTGGCCTCTTCTACACTGGAATCCTACCATTCCACCATCCCCACTAATACTAAGGAACCCAGCTCTATGACAGACCCTTCCACTGTTCAATCCTGGTCTACAGAGAGCAGGCACCAATGAACTTCTTAAAAGTTGACTGTTTACCTTTTTGAAGGCATTCCTTACTGCCTAAATGACTAAATGAAAAAAAAGGAAGAACAAAGACAGCCATATGACCCTAAAATTTACACTTTCAAAACTGTCCTGACTGAAATTTTCTAATGTTTTAAAATCTAACCTTAGTTCATGTTTATAATTATAATTAAAACAGTAATATCACACCTAGGAAATTAAAACCAAGCAACCAATAACATAGCAAATCTGTTCTGATGGTCAATAGTAGAAAATCAGTGCCTCCAAGTCCTCAGATACACCTAAGTCAAAAGTGCTGAAATGAATTGTTCTGATGATTAAGGAGGAACTTAACCAACAGAATGACAGATCCTTTCTATAACATATGCATACTCTGTCAAAATATTTAAACATATTTGCTGTTTAAAAACACACCAGCAGTTGTGCCTATCAATTTTGTTTAGTTTTTTAGTAAGCATCTATTTTTCAGTTCAGCAAAAACATTTTTATATATCCATGATGAATCTGTTGAATTAAAAATGGTTCGCCTCCTGAAACTACTGATCTGTTTTAAATTAGCTCAGAGTCAAATAAATCTTCAGTTTTCTGATGTAGCAAAACTAGTCTTCAAAAATCAAAATAAATCATGTAACGTAAAAAAAAAATTACTTCTCCAATCTTTCAAGTGTATGTACATATTATAAAAAACACTAAATACATTTTGCGTAAAAGAAAATAAAACCAAGTGATCTTGACAAGATATTTAAATCAAACCCACCTTCCCTCCTTATGTTTTATAGTCTTTTTTGCTTGGTTCTCTTTTCAAACATTAGTAATTAATGATTTGAAACAACAGATTAATCTGCATACCAATATTCTTAACTGACTCAATATTTTAGCTGATTCCTACTTTACCTGTTGAGTAATATGAGAGAGATGAGCCCCCTGAATTGTTGAACTGGGTTGAGGTGCTGTCTCTGAACTGTTACTCTTATGTGAATCTTCCATAATCAACTATAAGAAAAAAAGAAAAGCTGTTAAAAGTTGCTTTCTAAATCATTTTCAAGAAATCTTAAGACATTTCTTTTCTTAAAATGCATACTTTTTCAGAGGAATAAGACAAAGCTTTTCCATACTATGTGCTGGGCCCAATTTCACTTTCACCTTAATTATGTTCCCATAATTGTTCTCTGTTCTACGTATGTAGGTCTCTAATTAAAAGATATTAAAAAAAGGGTAAATAAGGGGTTGCAGCTAATGTCATGAAACAAAGTGTGTATAAATTGTTCAATGGGAAACTAATTCGCTCTGTAAACCTTCACCATACCACAATAAAATGTTCAGAAAAGAAAAGACCTTACTTGAAAAATAAACTTCTCAGACTAAAAACTCCGGGGGGAGGGGAATAAATGAGAATGCTATAGACTATGTATAGTATGCAAATACAATTGTGTACAAATTGGTAGCGTAGTTGCCTCTATGGAAGAGAACTGGTAACTAGAGGATAGAGATTAAAAAGAGGCTTTTCTTTGCATATTCTTTTAAATTTTTACAATTTTGAATCCTGAGAACATACGTAACAAATGGCACATATATACATAAATTATTGTGATTAAATTTTCAAACATTATCCCACCCAAGAAGCATGATACTACTAGTCTTCCTGCCCAGAAACACAAACATTCCTTTCTCCAGTCTAACATACAGTTTCTACTTGTACGTATAGTTTTATACAGTTTATTGAGTAAAAGTTGAACAAACAAAACTATTTTAGGAGGTTCTAAATTTCTAGATAATCAACTACAGGATACACTGACTAGGAAAGAATGAGAATGAAGGGGCTACAAGGAATCATAAATCAGATGGGAGGAGAACCACTAACAAAGAGGCTGGTAAAAAAAAAAAAAAAAGGTAGAATTTATGGTTCTTACAGTTATGTGCAGGAGCTCTGGTAGCATAGTGCCTAAGGCACTTGACTGCTAACCATAAGGCTGGGGGTTCAAACCCACCAGACACTCCTCAGAAGGAGGTTGGGCAATCTACCTCTGTAGTGATACTGCCTCGGAAACCCAAGGAGGGGTCACTGTGAGTCAGGGCCAACTGGATGGCACATAACAACAACAACATAGTTATGTGCAAAGACATGAAAAAGGAAAGGGCTAGTAGGTCCCTTAGCATCACTGACTTAATTTTTTCATTTTAATTTTTAATTAAGTTTAAGCCTACATGTTCTTTCTTCTTTTATTCCCCCATTTTTTTGAGATAAACAGAAATTAATTTTTAACATCTGTATTGAAGATGTTGTTTTTAGTCATTAAAAGAAGTTTTAAAATCACCTCAAATATAAAGTGGTTTCAATTTTTTTTTTTCCTTTTTAAAGATATCATTAATCCGTTTTCTTTGGATTAATACAGTCTTGGCTTCAGATATTACATTCACAATTTACTGTAAGATATACCAAACCAAGGGAGCTCTGGTAGCATAGTGGCTAAGACACTTGCCTGCTAACCAGACGGCTGGCGGTTCAAACCCACCAGCCACTCCTCGGAAGGAAGGTTGGGCAATCCTACTTCCGTAGTGATACTGCCTCGGAAACCCAAGGAGGGGTCGCTATGAGTCAGGGCTGACTCGACGGCATATAACAACAACAACAACATACCAAACCAAAAGGAGCTCTGGTAGCATAGTGCCTAAGGCACTTGACTGCTAACCAGATGGCGGTTCAAACCCACCAGCCACTCCTCGGAAGGAAGGTTGGGCAATCTACTTCCTTAGTGATACTGCCTCGGAAACCCAGGGAGGGGTCGCCATGAGTCGATCTGAATCGATGGCAAACAACAACAAACACCAACACCAAACCAAAAACCTATTGCCATTGAGTCAAACCCAACTCACAGCAACATACTACAGGACAAAGCTAAACTGCCCCACAAGGTTTCCAAGGCATGTATCTTTATGCAAGCAGACTACTTTATCTTTCTCCCTCTCAAGGCTGGTTGAGTTCAAATAAACGACCTTTTTGGTTAGCAATGAAATGCCTTAACCACTGCGCCACTGTTGTTGTTGTCGTTATGTGCCGTCAAGTCCGACCGACTCATAGCGACCCCTACTTGGTTTCCCAGGCAGTATCACTACGGAAGTAGATTGCCCCATCGTCCTTCCGAGGAGCAGCTGGTGGGTTTGAACCGCCAGCCTTCTGGTTAGCAGTCAAGTGCCTTAGCCACTATGCTACCAGAGCTCCCTACTGCGCCACTACAGCTCAGTAAATAATTTCTTTGAGCTTCAATTCACTAAAACAGGGAATCTGGGTGATTATACATAAAAAGCTATTACTTTAGTGCCTAGAATATAATGTTACTTTCTTTGCAAGTTTTCCTAAAAGAGCCATGCTTTTCCTTACATTCTGCTAGGTCCGCAAGACCACAGCCAGCCATTATTTCTCAGCTCCATATCCATCCCCATTGCCCGCTTGTGAAGCTGTTATCACTGCACCTGTTGTGATCCCGCTCAACTAGGGACTGTCCTTGTTAAGTTGACAGCTGCTGCCTGGGCTTACTTTATTATTTCTAAATTTTTATTGTGATTTTTGTGAAAGTTTACACAGCAAATAGGTGCATTTTCACAGATGCCTTCGTATGTATTTTAATCTGTGTAGAATAAACTTTAAAACTGTTCATCTTAACTTCAATTTAGAAACAATAGCTTTTAAAAATAAATATATAAAGGGTTTACTCTGACAACATCACTAAAAAAATACAAAATTGGAAAGTCATTGTAAATAAATCGGATGACGTGAAAAGGGCATTTTCAGAAGAGACTACCACCTATTGGTAATATGGTAATACTGCACAGATACGTCAGAGATCAAACAGCACAACCCTTAGAGATAACTACAAAAAGCAAAATGCTAACACATTCGTTCGGCTTTACAATTGCATTTACTTTAATCGAGACACTGTGGGAACAGTACATTACAACGTCTATAGAACCTAAATTCTCTGCCGTACAGTGGATTCCGACTATAGAACTATTTTCTTAGTAACAAAACTTTCGGAATAAAATGCATCTTGTGAACATAAATACTATAGAAACTTATCATACACGAGGCCAGATTCAGAAAGATGCTTGTCAAATATATGTTAAATTTGTTAAAATGTTAAAATTGCTTCAGAAGCGTAAGGGCTCTATTTTTGGTCCAATGCTATACAAAAACTAACAAAACTAGGCATTATGAGCATCTACAATAAATTTAAAGGGATTAAGCTGCACGCCTCCACGACATAGCTGAAGCCGTGAAACACGAAGCTTAGTTTCATGACACGGGAGAAAACCGAAAAGAACGTTTCCTAGATTTGATCATTTCTCCCGAGGAAAACAGTCGACTTCTGCCATTCCTAGCTCGGCCAAAAGCTATTCCTCATTCTCCTTCCTCGCCCATCAGTTGCACTTTGCCGTAATTGTTTTGTGTGTACGTGTTACTATTTCACTCTCTCCACTAGAGTGTAAGCGCCGTGAGGGTAACGACTGTTTCCGCCCTTTTCGACTGGCCCAGCCCAGGGTCTGAAACCCAGGTGTTGCCCAGCGCGCTCTGTGGAATCGCACGCGAAGTTAACCGGTGTCCGGGTCCGCTAGGACAAGGTGCTGAAGCCAAGGCCACTCCGACTCCCCTCCGCCTCCCGGCCCAGCCCCGAGACCAACGCCGGAGAGCTCTTGCCTTCGACCGCTGAGTGACTCGTGATAATAAAGCCCATCCCGCAGCGGGGATTTTCTGTTTTATTTTTATTTGGGACACAGGAGGAGGAGGAGATGAGAGAACCAGAAAAGGGTAGACCGATAAAACAACGAGGGTGAAAGCTCGAGAACTCGTTGCGCACCAACCGGAAGCACGCTCCGACCGGGAACCGCGGGCAGCCCCAGCGGCAACGGCCCCTCCCCCCTCGGCCACGCGCCCCTCCCCCACCCCAGCCGCCAGCGCGCGACCCCCACCCCGGCGCGCACCCCGGCTTTGCGTGCCCGCTGGTGCCGCGTCCCCGCGTCCTCGCCCGCCTCGGCCAAAGGAGCACGTCCTACCCCGCCCCCCACTTACCTGTGGCTGCCGCCTTGCCGCTGCCTGGGGCGGGAACTTTCCACTCCCCCCTCCCAGGATGGATTCGAGTTCACTACCCTTTTCCCCACCCCCTCACGCGGCGGGAGACGTGCCTCTTTATCGGGGGTCTGGTGGGGCGGGGAGGATCAGTGTCACTTTAACAGCCAACTGTCCTAGGCTACCCTTTCCTCGGCAGTCAGGGCCACCACTGACGGCATGATCTACACCAGATCGAGGGCGGGGGAGGGAAGGGGGGCAAAATTGAGTGTAAGTGAGCGTGGGGGGGTGAAGGTTAGGCAGTCCCTCCGTGCGGGCCTCCGTCTTACGTCAGCGCGTTGCTCACGTGATTCGCCGCCATCTTGTACGGGTCTTCCTGGAACTGCTAATTGGATGGCTTGGAAGTATTACCCTGGCAAGAGTTGTAGGTGAACAGAGTCTGGGCTTTCTTTTTCGCCTCTGGATGTAAACTTTTCCCCTCTCCTCCTGCACGTTGCCTGAGGGCCTCACCAGCTTGCTCTCTGGAGGCCACTCGGTGTGGGGTAGTTTTCATCAGCTAGTGGCGTGGCTCTCGGTTCAGTCCTTGTGTGCTCCTGGTTGGGTGATCAGAGCCAGAGCTGACGTCTTCCACCTGTCCGCCCCGTTCTTGTAGTGGAAATTAACTTTTGAAATGTGGAGGCTTTACCTCAACTAGTGTTAAGACCAAAAAAAAAAAAAAAACCTAAATTCTCTGCCGTACAGTGGATTCCGACTATAGTGACCCTATAGGACGGAGAGGAACTGCTTTATAGAGTTTCCAAGGCTGTAAATCTTTCACCCACGGAGCAGCTGGTGGGTTCAAACCGCCTACCTTTTGGCTGGCAGCTAAGGGCTTTAACCACTGTGCCACCAGGGTCTGAATCCCATAAAATAGCGTTAAGAGAGAAAATGTGATGTCGTAAAACAAAATGTTATGCAGTCATTTTAACAAATTACAAAAATTTTAAAATTATTTTTTAATGTTTGTGTAACCACCTATGTAAGTTCAGTTTGTGTGTCAACTTGGCTGGGCCAGGTCGAGTAGTTGGGCAGCTGGATGTAGTATTCCCCATGATGAGACTGATAATCATCTCCATGGTGGAATCTACTGTGAGCAGCTGAGAAGCTGCCCTAGGAATGTGGTCTGCTTCCTCTATATAAGGAGAAGCTTTGGGGAATGGTCCCTAGCTTATGGCATGCTTAAACCCTGCCTCTAGTGTGTTCTTGTTCTGCAGTCTGTCAACCTCTGCCAGGCTTGGGATTTTCAATGGACTTGAATTAACAGCCTGCCTGTGTGGTTTGGTAACATCAGTACTGTGCCATTTTACTTGTTGACCTTGGGCTTCTTAGCCTCTCAGTAGCCAGTAGTTGCCTGCTTCTAGCTTCAGTGGGCTGGAAGCAAGAGGCAGAGCCGAAGCTGGGCCTTTCATACAGCCTGTAGAGCCTGGCACTTTGAACTTGGGCTTAAAGCCTCCAAACTGTGAGAGAAAAGCTCCTGTTTTAACCCTTCTCATTTGTGGTATTTCTGTTAGAGCGGTACTAGGTAACCAGAACACCACCTTTCTGGGGAAGGACTGCTTTGTTCATTTCCTTGCAAAATGCTTTTTTTATGGCTTACAGTCATCAAAAAACAAACCAAACTCACTGTTATTGCTGGATTCCTAATCATAGTGACTCCCATTTGGTTTCCAAAGCTGTAAATCTCTATGGAAGCAGACAACCTCATCTTTCTTTGGCAGAGTGTGTGGTTGGTTCACCTTTACAGTGATAAAGCCAGAAAAACCAAACCCCCTGTCATCCAATCGATTCTTATTCATTGTGACCCACATTGGGTTTCCAATACTGTAACTCATATGGAAGTTCCTTCTGCAAAGTAGCTGGTGGGTTTGAATAGTGGACCTTCTGATTAGCAGCCAAATGCCTTACCCACTATGCCACCAGAGCTCCTTATAGTGATAAATCCGCTGCCATAGAATGGATTCAGACTCACAGCTACTCTCATTGGGTTTCCAAGGCAGTAAATCTTTAGGGAAGTAGATTGTCCTGTCTTCCTTCTACAGAGCAACTGGTGAGTTTGAACCACCAGCCTTCTGGTTAGTAGTCAAATGCCTTAAGCACTGTGCCACCAGACGTCCTTCCTTATAGTGACAGTAAATGATAAATGGTAAGCCTTTTAGTATACTTTTTAGCAAAATACAAAGTTCCAAATCTTTTCTGACATTTTACTAGTTAGATCTCCCTTAAGTTGAATTGATGGTAAGAGCCCCTCCTGTTTTTGACACTTAAGTCCAGGTACAGATAATGTGATTAAAAATTGTACTGTTCTGTGTCAGTCACTCTTAGGAGCTCTGGTGGTGTAGTGCCTAAAGCACTTGACTGCTAACCAGAAGGCTGGAGGTTCAAACCCACCAGCCACTCCTCGGAAGGAAGATGGGGCAATCTACTTCCATAGTGATACTGCCTCAGAAACCCAAGGAGGGGTCACTATGAGTCAGGTCCGACACGATGGCACATAACAACAGTGTTCAGCCATTGCCACACATTCAGCAAACATTGTTGACTACTGTCTTAGGCTGGTTTCTCTAGAGAAGCAAAACCAGTAAAGCATATATAGAGAGAGAGAAAAATTTAACTTAGGAAAATGGCTCACACAGTTACAGAGGCTAGCAAGTCCCAAATTCCTGGATCAAACGTCAAGCTGGAGGCTTTTCCCCACCAAGATCAGCAAGAAAAGTGGTGGGTTGTTTGCTCACAGGACAGTTGTAGGTAGCAAGGCAAGATCCAGATTTATAAAAGGAGCCCAAATTTTCTCAAGACATCCAAATTGTGTGTGTGTGGCGGGGGGGGGGGGGGGGGGAGGCACGTGTCTAAAGAAATTCACTTTCAACTGATTGGCTGCTCAGAGCACATACATCAGATCTCATCATGGGAACAACCACATCGCAACTGCTTAAACCACTTAGAATCATGGTCCAGCCCAGTTGACACACAACCCTAACTATCATAGTCTACCCGTTGTCAACTTGGCAGTTGTACACATCTCCTTAACCATGTATAATCTCTAAATAAGGATAATTATAAAGTTATTCTTGCACCTAACATGATACAACTAATGTGTATGACCGAAAATGCATTAGTCCTGTTTACATTTTATAGTTCATAACCAAAGAAAACAAAAATACTTGATGCACAAACAAGAAATAAAATGATGACAATCCTTGTTTCTGCAACCAGTCACATGGTTGTAGCTGGTATTCAGAACTACCTTCTTCCACCACCCATTCCGTATTTCTCTTGCCCTCAGCAAGCACCTCAGCTAGTTGTGGTTCTTTGCCTGGTGGAGTGACCCAAACCTTCACTCCTGAAGGATCTGGACCATTAGTGGTCATATCAGAATTGGGTTGCTGTAGTTTTCCATTGACTTTAATCACAGGATAGTACTAAGATGTCCTATGAATCTCCTGTATTCCAGACATTCTTTTTTTTATCTCCGTTATGTAATGTCAATCCAATTTCCCCTTGGTAATCAGGATCTATCACACCAGACAATACAGTAATTCCCTTTTTCCCTGTTGATCCAGAGGGATGAGGAAGCCAAAATGTCTGGGTGGCATTCTTAACTTCTAGTTCAATGCAATCAGTATTGTGTCTCAGGGTGGGAGTATTCCTCCCTTTGCAACTAAGACCTCCAGACCTGCAGAGCATAGGATCTCAGGAACAGGCAGCAAAAATTTTTTGCATGGGTCACTAGAGGTAATAATGAGTGGTACCACTTCCGTTTCCACCCCTTGGTTCCTGGCCCCATGAATCCTGGCTATTGCAGAAATAGCACCATATATTGGACACTGCTTTAGAGCATGTATAGCCTCCTGGAGAACATTGCCCCATGGTATTGCACTTAGCTGGCACCATAATTGTGTTTTTAGCAGGCCATTCCATTGTTCTATCAAGCCATCTGTTTCAGGATGATGGATACCAGTGAATTCCATGAGCACAGGCCCATTGCCTCACTTCATTTGCTGTGAAGTGAGTCCTTGATCTGAGGCAGTGCTGTGTGGGATACCATGATAAGGCATTCTGTAAGTCCATGAATGGTAATTTTGGCAGAAGCATTGCATGCAGGGAAGGCAAATCTGTATCCAGAGTAAGTATCTATTCCAGTAGGAGCAAAATGCTGTCCTTTCTATGATGGAAGTGGTCCAATGTAATCAACCTACCACCACATTGTTGGCTGATCACCCTAAGGAATGGTTCCATATCGCAGACTCAATGTTGGTCTCTGCTACTAGCAGATTGGGCACTCAGCAGTGGCAGTAGCCAAATCAGCCTTGGTAAGTGGAAGTCCATGTTGCTGAGCCCATGCATAACTTCTGTCCCTGCCACCATGGCCACTTTGTTCATGAACCCATTGGGTAATGATAGGAGTAGCAGGGGGAAAAAGGATGACTGGTTTCCACAGAATGTGTCATCCTATCCATCTGATTGTTAAAGTCCTCCTCTGCCAAGGTCGCCTTTTGGTGAGGATTCACATAAGACACAAATAGCTTTACTCCTTTGGCCCATTCAGAGAGTTCTATCCACAGAGAGATCTCTTCCTCATACCTCCTTTTCAATCATGCTCCTTCCAAGTCCCAGACCATCCAGCCAAACCATTGGCCACAGCCCATGAATCAGTATACAATCATACATCTGGCCATTTCTCCTTCCATGCAAAGTGAACAGCCAGATGCATGGCTCAAAGTTCTGCCTATTGGGAGGATTTACTCTCACCACTGCCATTCAGGGAAATCCCAGAAAGGAGCTGCGGTGCTGCTGCTGTCCACTTGCGAGTGGTGCCTGCATATAGCACAGAACTAACTGTAAACCAGGCACGAGTGTTCTCTTCCTCAGTCAACTGATCATAAGGAACTCCCCATGAGGCCATAGGTGCAGACTGGGTGAGGGAAGGTAATATGACTAGAGTGGAGACCATAGGCATTTGGGCCACTTCCTCATGCAACTTACTTGTGCCTTCAGGTCCTGCTCAAGCCCAATCTCTGATACACCACTTCCATTTAGTGATGGAGTGCTGCTGTGCATGTCCAACTGTATGACTCTATGGGTCAGTTCATGAGGCTGCTCAAGCCTCATGATGACTTGGTGGCCCATGGTTAGGCATTCAATCCCTACTGAAGCCCAATAACAAGCTAAAAGCT